CATTAAAGTGGTCTTATTGTGGTAGGGTTTTGGTACAGCATTGAAGCGGTCTTGTTGTGGTAGGGTTTTAGGTAACACTTCATTTTAAGGAGTCCTTATAGTACAATTACGTATTGTAATTAATTGTAATAACTCATAGTTACACTGTAATAACAACATGTAACTGGTGGTAATTGCAGTGTGTAGTCTCCCGAGTGGCGCAGTGGTCTAAGGCACTGCATCGCAGTGCTAGCTGTGCCACTAGAGATCCTGGTTCAAATCCAGACTCTGTCGTAGCAGGCCGCGACCGGGAGACCCATGGGGCGGCGCACAATTAGCCAGCGTCGTCCAGGGGTAGGGGAGGGGAGGGAATGGCCGGCAGGGATGTAGCTCAGTTGGTAGAGCATGGCGTTTGCAACGCCAGGGTTGTGGGTTCGATTCCCACGGGAGGGGCCAGTATGAAAACGTATGCACTCACTAAAACTGTAAGTCGCTCAGGATAAGAGCGTCTGCTAAATGACTAAAATGTAAATGTAATTACAGAGGTGTAACAACGAACGCTTGTCACAAATGGACAAGTTTCCGATAGCATCCCAACGCACCATATTGGTCAGTGCTATCCGGGTTCCTTGGTACGACCTTACCCTAAACCCTAACCCTTACCTAACCCCTTAACCCTTAACTTAACCATTTTAAATGTCAACTTCAATGGAGGTAGGGACGTCCCAAGAATCCCGGATAGCCACGTGTTAGCTAACCGCCCACCTCATTGACATAACTCTGCAATAAACGGCTCTGGAGTGTGATGGCAAAAACAGGTCCACAAACAGTTCACATAAAAAAATACTTTCAATTGTTTATTCATTTAAATGGTGCATTTGACAAACGGGTCAATTACTTTAACCATCAATGAAAACATTTTAGACACATTAATAAACAGTTATGTTTAAAATTATTCGTGCCAAATTATAAGCCTATTGCGTTTGGTTGAATAATGGTTTAATAAATGCACTTAAAATAGTCAGAAGGCAAAACTCTTATTCCATCATGTAACTTTGCAAGGGTTTCACTGTTGAGGAACATTCTCACTTTTGGATAGGATGCATTGGAGCAATTATTTATTTATCCCAGGAATGAAGGCATCAGGTCAAGATCTGCCCATCTATGCCATCTGCCCATCACACTCGATTTATGATCAGTGTGCAAAGAACGGGGTCGAAAAGGTCAGTGCGAAAAAAAATCCCAGACATGAAAGATTGCCGTGACACAAACAGGATGCTGTAGGTCAAAACGTCAACACAGTTTTTAAGCATCAATCGTTGAGTCCATCCTCCCCTCCTCCATCACAGTCTGGTTTGGGTCTCACCGTCTGCCCCGCTGCAGTGTCCCGGTCTGCAGAGAAGGTCATCGGCTGCCACCTGCCCTCCATCGTGGTCCTGCATAGACTCCAGGACAAGGAAGCGTGCAGGAAAGATCTTCGCCGACCCCTCCCACCCCGGTCATCCCCTCCTCTGGCAGGCGGTTCAGGTCACTCACGACCAAAACCTCCCGCCACCTGAACAGTTTCTACCCCAGGGCTGTGGCCCTCACCAACCGGCCCATAGAGACTAAAGGACTATACACTCTATGCTGCACAATGCATCAAGCCATCTCTGAACTGTACACTACCATCTGGCCCATAGAGACTAAATGACTATACACTCTACGATACACACCACATCAAGCCATCTCTGAACTGTACACTAAATAACTGCACTGTACTGCATTACACTCTGTCCATCTCTCTGCATTTAGATATATTCATACTGATACTGTACATTTCTACATCCACTGTATATCAACCGTATACCCACTGTATATCAACCGTATACCCACTGTATATTAACCGTATATCCACTGTATATCAACCGTATACCCACTGTATATCAACCATATACCCACTGTATATCAACCGTATACCCACTGTATATTTGTATATCTGCCAATTCTCTTATAGCTCTGTGATCACGCTACCTAGTTGTATTACACTGAGTGTACAAAACATTAAGAACACCTGCTCTTTCCTTGACATAGACTGACCAGGTGAATCCAGGTGAAAGCTATGGTCCCTTATTGATGTCACTGGTTAAATCCACTTCAAATCAGTGTAGATGAAGGGGAGGAGACAGGTTAAAGAAGGATTTTTAAGCCTTGAGACAATTGAGACATGGATTGTGTATGTGTGCCATTCAGAGGGTGAATGGGTAAGACAAAACATTTAAGTGCCTTTGAACGGGGTATGGTAGTAGGTGCCAGGCGCACCGGTTTGAGTGTGTCAAGAACTACAACGTTGATGGGTTTTTCGCGCTCAACAGTTTCCCGTGTGTATCAAGAATGGTCCACCACCCAAAGGACATCCAGCCAACTTGACACAACTGTGTGAAAAGCATTGGAGTCAACATGGGCCAGCATCCCTGTGGAACACTTTCGACACCTTGTAGAGTCCATGCCACGACAAATTGAGGCTCCTCCCCCTCTCCCTCTCCCTCCCTAGTCCTTCTATCCTGTGTCTGTTACACTCCTTCTCTCCTCCCCCTCTCTCTCTGTCCCTCCCTCCCTCTCTCTCTGTCCCTCCCTCCCTCCCTCGCTCCTTCTCTCCTCCCCCTCTCTCTGTCCCTCCCTCCCTCACTCCTTCTCTCCTCCCCCCTTTCTCTGTCCCTCCCTCCCTCTCTCTCTGTCCCTCCCTCCCTCCCCCTCTCTCTCTGTCCCTCCCCCCCTCGCTCCTTCTCTCCTCCCTCCCTCTCTCTGTCCCTCCCTCCCTCCCCCTCTCTCTCTGTCCCTCCCCCCCTCGCTCCTTCTCTCCTCCCCCTCCCTCTCTCTCTGTCCCTCCCTCCCGCCCTCGCTCCTTCTCTCCTCCCCCTCTCTGTCCCTCCCTCCCTCGCTCCTTCTCTCCTCCCCTCTCTGTCCTCCCTACCTCGCTCCTTTCATCATCCCCTCTCTTGTCCCTCCCTCCATGCCCCTCATCTCTCCCCCTCTCTCATGTCACCTCTCCCTCACTCACGTTCTCTCACTACCCTCTCTCTCGTCACCTCCCTCCCTCCCTCCTTCTCTCCTCCCCCTCCTCTCTGTCCCCTCCCTCACCTCCCGTCCCTCCCTCCTTCTCTCTCTCCTCTTCCTCCCCCCTCTCTCTGTCCCTCCTGTCCCTCCCCTCCCTCCTTCTCTCTCTCTGTCCCCTCCCCCCCCTCGCTCATTCTCTCCTCCCTCTCCTCCTGTCCCTCCCGCGCTCCCTTCTCTTCCTTCCCATCCCCCTCTCTCTGTCCTCCCCCCTCTCCCTCTGCAAGTTGCCTTGCCGTGATGAGGATACTCATGAGGAAGAACCATGATTAAAAATATCCACATGAAAGACCCGTCCTCACCTTGGCAACCTGCTTCCACTCCCCGCCCTTTCACAAGTCGCTCCTTTGCTCCCGAAACAGTTGGCGATGTATTGGATGTTATACAACCCCCACCTAAAGAGAGGGTGTGGGAGGGAGGGATAGAAAGTCGAGTGAGGGAGTGGGGAGGGAGGAGGGAGGGAGTAGGTGATTGATGGATGTAGTGCGTTATGTAGGGATTTATTGAGAGAGGCGGAGATGCGGGAGGGAGTGATGTGACGGCGCTATTTAGCGAGTCTTGTTCGTAGGGCGAGATTATAGAGAGGGCGTGTATTTTGATTTCGAGAGCGCTCTCTCTCTCTCTCGAGAGATGTAGGGATACGGCCTCTAGGTAAAGAGCTAATTATCGTATAGATTGAGGAGACGTTATATAGTTCTATAGATAGCGTCTGTCTCTCTGTGAAGTTAATATATCTGTAGTGTGCCTGACGCGCTCTCTTGTCGCTTTCTGTCCGCGTCATATCTAGGAGATATAGTGAGGAGTATAGTGAGGGGAGACGTGATATAGTTGAGAGAGATATCTATATTGATATAGAGATTTAAGAAGATACGGAGATGTGAGAGAGATAGAGGGAGAGAGGATAGATATAGGGAGGATATAAGGTAGTTAAGTGTAGTAATAGTTATTGAGGGAGGGATGAGAAACATTAGAAATGATTGGGATGTTTCCATAACCAACAACTAGAATAGAGTGATGGTGAGTAGTTGATGGTCAGAGGGAGGATATACGGGATGTAGTAGGGAGAGGGTAGTTGAGTCTAGATAAGGGAAGAAGTGAGATGAGAGAGAGAGAGAGATACTTATATATTTATATATATATATGGAGATAGTATAGAAATTTGATGGAGAGAGAGATATGTTATGGATATTTATGATAGTGATATATAGATATATAGATAGAGAGATCTAGATATATATATTTAGTCCTTATATCTTTATACCATAGAGTATGATTCACAAATTTTTCAACAAGCCTGACCTTTTGTATCCTTGATTTGTCATAGTCAACCTGTTTGTGGTGTTGGTGTAATGAGCAGGGGGGGATCAATTCCAGTCCGTTCCGAGTCTGGGCCTTAAGTGCTTCCCTCTCTCTTCTTTCCTTCTTCTTCTCTTACCTTCTCTCTCTCTGGTTCTCTTCTTCTTCCCTTCTCTTGCTCTATCCCTCTTTATCGTACTATCCTTTCTTTGCTTCCTTTTCCTTCTCTTTCTTCACTTCATATCTTCTTCTCTCCTTCTGGTCGTTCTCCGGTGAAGCTTCTCTATCTATCTCTGGTCTTTTTCTACTTCATTTTTCGCTCTGTGTCCTCTATGTCAGCTACTTTCTGTTGGCCTTTCCTCTCTGCTAGGCATTTCTTCCTGGCCGGTCGATTCTTAAATTCCCTTCGGTCTTATTCTCCTGATGGTCGTGTCATGGGTCTTCTCTCCTTCTCTGCTTTCGAGTTTCATTCTGGGTGTCCTGTTCGGTGCTTCCTCGGTCGTTACATCTTCGGCTATCCTTCTCCCTTTCCCGTTTCGTGTAGTGCTTGGGGTCTCTTCTTGCTTGGGTGCCCGTAACGTCTTCTTCAGGGATTCCTTCCTTGAGTCCTTCTTCCTCGATGATGGCTTTTTTTAATTCAACGGTTCCTTCAGCCCAGCCCGTTTCTGGAGGTTCCCTGGAGGGGGGGCCTTATATTCTCTCCTCTCTCCCGATGTGTGGTACCCACCATGGGGTCTCTTTTCTCTATCCCTCGTTTTCGTCCTCTGCCCGCTGTCCCCCTTGGAGGTCTGGCTCGGGTTGCTGTGGTGGTTCTGGTTACTATGGTTGCTGTAATGATTGTCGTGGTGACCGCCATTGGCGTAGCGATGGTTGTCGAGGTGATTTTGATGGGTGCTGTGGTGGATTTGGTTTTGGAGGTGCCCATTTCCATACTGGTACGGATTGAGGTGATGGTAGTCGTCTTGGCAACAGCTGTCATGGTAGAGGTCGTCATGGTAATGGTTCCGTGCCAGGGCGGAGTTGCCCGACATTGGTTCCTCGCTGTAGAGAGGTGTTCTCTCACTCTCTGGTGTGGTGCAGTTCTCCCCCACCTCGTACACAAACAGGATCTTAGACATGTAGTCAATGATGAGCACCTGGGAACACACGCACACTATCACAGTTACACATAGCATCCATCCTTGTGGCCGAAGTGAGGAAAACATGCCTTGGCCCTAACCGTTGGCCCAGTAGGAACATGCTAGTCTACCTTGGCCCAGTGAGGAACAGCTGGCCTAACCTTGGCCTCATGGGAACAGGCCTTTGGCCTAATACCTTTGGCCCAGTGATGACGTCTTGGAACTACCTTGGCCCAGTGAGGACATGCTTGGACTACCTTTGCCCATGAGGAACAGGCTTGGAACTAACCTTGGCCGTGTGGGAACAGGCTTGGACTACCTTGGCCCAGTGAGGAACAGCTTGGACTACCTTACCTTGGGCCCATTGGATGAACCGGCTAGTCTACCTTGGCCGCAGTGAGAACAGGCGTGGACTACCGGTGGCCCAGTGGAGGAACAGGCTTGGCTACCTTGGCCCCTTGAGGAACGAGCTGGGACTAACCTACCTGTGGCCCAGTGAGGAACAGTCTTGGCCTCCTTGGCCAGTTGAGGAACAGGCTTAGTCACCTTGGCCCAGTAACGAGAACAGGCTTAGTTTACCTTGCCCAGTGAGGCACGCTTAGTCGACCTTGCCCAGTAGAGAACATGCGTAGTTACCTTGTACCAGTGAGGAACCGCCTTATGTCTATCCTTGGCCCAGTGAGGAACAGGCTTAGATCTACCTTGGCCCAGTGATGAACACAAGTGGGGGGTGGGGGGGTGGGGGGGGGGTGGTGGGTGGGGGGTTGTGCTTGCCTACCTTGGCCCCGTGAGGACAGGCTGGCCTACCTTGGCCCAGTGAGGAACCGGCTTAGTCTACCTTGGGCCCATTGAGGGAACAGTTTGGCTCGGCACCACGAGAATGGATGTTCATGATGAAGATGGTCAGAGATGTATAGCCGTGATCCCGTCGCGTCGTCGATGTAGTATTCTCCCTGGAACCCACCCGCCACAAACGCGGCACACCACGACACCACACACCACACACTCACACACACACACTCACACAACACACTTTTTGTTTATTAATATTTATCGTTAGCCTTGCTCTGAATACTGTCCCACATTTAAAACCCACTTCCCCCGCCCAACACCATTTTAGGAGCATTTATAGGAGAGGAGGTGTTCCTGGCACATTCATTCATTGAAATGATTCAGACATTTATTACGTACCGCCTATTCTAAAATTGATTCAATTTTTTTTTTCTTCTTTCCCCCCTCATCAATCTACACACAATAGCCCATAATGACAAACAAAACCAGGGTTTTTTGAGAATGTAATCAAAATTAAATAACAAACGGAAATATCACGTTTACAATAAGTATTCAGACCTTTACACTGTCAGTACTTTGTTGAAGCACTTTTGCAGCGATTACAGCCTAATAGTCTGCTTGGGTATGACTCAACAGCTTGGCACAACCTGTATTTGGGGATTTCTTCCCATTCTTCTCTTCCAGATCCTCTCAAGCTCTGTCAGGTTATGTGGAGCGCGCTCCATCAGGCTCTGTTCAGTCCCTCCCAGAGACGTTAGATGGGTTCAAGTCCTGGCTCTGGCTGGGGCCACTAAAGGACCATCAGAGACTTGTCCCGAAGCCACTCCTGCTTTGTCTTGCTGTGGTGCTTAGGGTCGTTGTCCTGGTTGGAAGGTGACCTTCGCTCCATCTAGGTCCTGAGCGCTCTGGAGCAGGTTTTCATCAAGGATCTCTCTGTACTTACTTTGCTCCGTTCATCTTTCCCTCGATCCTGAATAGTCTCGCCAGTCACCTCCTGCCCGGAAAAACCTGCCCCACACATCATGATGCTGCCACCACCATGCTTTCACCGTAGGGGATTTGCCAGGTTTCCCTCCTCCAGACTGACGCTTGGCATTCGGCCAAAGTGTTTCAATCTTCGTTTCCATCAGACCATAGAATCTTGTTTCTCATGGGCGGAGTCCTTCAGTGCCTTTTGCAACACCATTTGAGCGGTCAATATGCCTTTTACTGAGGATTTGGCTTCCATCTTGCCACTCTACCATAAAGGCCTGATTTGGTGGAGTGCTGCAGAGATGGTTGTCCCTTCTGGAAGGTTCTCCCATCTCCATAGAGAAACTCTCAACTCTGTCAGTGACCATCGGGACTCTTGGTCACCTCCCTGACCAAGGCCCAAGCGCAGAGAGAGGGGGAGGGCTCCCCCTATTTGCTCATTTTTGGCCAGGCGCGGCCAGCTCTACTAGGAAAAGTCTTGGTGGTTCCAACTTCTACTTCTTACATTTAAGCATGTATGGAGGCCACTGGTGTTCTTGGAGACCCTATCAAGCTGCAGAAATGTTTTGGTACCTCTTCGCCCCAGATCTGTGCCTCGAACACAATCCTGTCTCTGCTCTCTACGGGACAATTCCTTCAACCTCATGGCTTGGTTTTTGGCTCTGACATGCACTGTCAACTGTGGACCTTATATAGACAGGTTTGGTCCTTTTTCCAAATCATGTCCCATCAATTGAATTTACCACAGGGACTCCATCAGTTGTGAACATCTCAAGGATGATCCAATGGAAACAGGATGGCCCCTGATCTCAATTTCGAGTCTCATAGCAAGAGTTTGAAACTTTATCGTAAATAGGTATTTTCCGTTGTTTATACATTTCGAAAACCTGTTTCGCTTTGTCATTATGGGTATTTGCATAGATTGATGAGTGGGGAAATGATTTTACCCATTTTAAGAATAAGGCTGTTAAGCGAGGTGAAGGGGTCTGAATACTTCCGAATGCCTGGTATGAACCACAGGAGTCTGGTGAGGGGAAGGACGGCTCCATAATAAGGGGCTGGAAATGGATCATGTAACGGGCATCACGGACACATGGAAACCAAATCAATATCAAATGGATTTATAAAGCCCCTTTTTTTACATCAGCAGATGTCACACCGTGGCTATAACAGCACCCAGCCTAAGACCTCCAAACAGCAAACCCATGCAATATAGAAACGGTGGCTATGAAAAACTCCCTATAAAGGCAGGAACCTAGGAAAGAAAGCCTAGAGAGTAACCAGGCTCTGATGGTGGCATTCGTCTTCTGTCTTGTACTGGGTAGAGAGACCCGGCGCTAGGGGTGGCCAGTCCTCTACTGGCCTGACTGGATTATAGAGGACCATGCTCCTGAGGGTGGCCACCCTCTTCTGGCTGTACTGGGTAAGGGGAACCAGGCTCTGATGGGTGGCCGTCCCCTCTATCTGGCTGTACTGGGTAAAGAGAGGACCAGGCTCCTGAGGGGTGGTCCATTCCTCTACTGGCTGTACTGTGTAGGAGACGGAACGCAGCTCTGAGGGGTGGCCATTCATCTTCTTGGTTGTACTGGCTAGAGAGAACCCATGCTCTGAGGGGTGGCCAGTCTTCTTCGGCTGTACTGGTTTAGAGAGGAACATGCTCTTAGGGGTGGGCCAGTCCTCTAGTGGCTGTACTACTGGGTAGACCAAAGGAACCTGCTCTGCGGGGTGGGCATTCCTCATACTGGCCCTGTACTGGTAGAGAGGAACCAGGCTCTGAGGGTGGCCAGTTCCTCTTAGTGGCTGTACTGGTTAGAGGGGAACCAGCTCTGATGGTGCCAGTCCTCACGCTGTACTGGGTAACCAGAGGAACCAGGCTCTAGTGGTGGACATCTCTACTGGCTGTACTGGTTCAGACCAGGGAACCATGCTCTGAGGGGTGTCCAGTCCTCAACTGGCTTTTACTGGGTAGAAGGAACCAGGCTCGAGGGTGGCCAGTCCTCTCTGGCTTGTACTGGGTAGATAGGAACCAGGCTCTTAGGGGTGGCGCAATCCTCCTTCTGGCTGTATGGGTAAGAGGAACCAGGCTCGACTGGTGCACCAGTCCTCTACTGTGTACTGGGGGTAGAGATGAACCAAGCTCTGAGGGGGTGTCCAGTCCTCTACTGGCTGTCTGGGGTAGAACCATAGGAACCAGGCTTCTGAGGGGGTTGGCCAGCCTCTACTGTCTGTAAACTGGGTAGAAATCCAGAGGAACCATGCTCTGAGGGGTGGCCAGGTCTCTCTACTTGGGCTGTACTGGGTGGAGAGGAACCGGCTCTGAGGGGTTGCCAGTCCTCCTTCTTGGCTGTACATGGGGTTAGAGAGGAACCAGGCTCTTAGGGGTGCCAGTCCCCTGCTAGTTGGCTGTACTGGTAGAGAGGAACCAGGCTCTCTGAGGGGTGGCTCAGGTCTTCTTTCTCTGGCTGTTCTGGGTTAGAGAGGAACCAGGACTCTGAGGGGTGGTCCAGTCCCTCTAGTGGGCTGCCTCGTACTGTGGGTAGAGGCCAGACAGTGAACCATGCTCTGAGGGGTGCCCAGTTCTCTTCTGGGCTGTACTGGGTAGCGAGAGGACCCATGCTCTGGGTGTGGCCAGTCCCTGCTAGGGGCTGTACTGGGTAAGGGAACCAGGCTCTGGGGGTGGCCAGTCCTCTAACTACTGTGCTGTACTGGGTAAGAGAGGCCCAGGCTTCTGATGGGGTGGCCATGACCTCTACTCTACTGGCGTGTACTGGGTAGGATGAACCAGGCTCTGAGTGGTAGGCCAGTCCTCTACTGGCCTGTACAGGGTGGAGATATAACAGTACATGTCCGCTTCAGTGCCAGATCGTGTTCTTCTTCATCAATGATGTTTTGAAACGTTCAAACGTTTGATTGATTTGACATGGAAAATCTTCCAGGTGTGCTTACCATTGCTTTATGAGCGTTCCAGCCATTACTATGAGCCGTCCTCCCCAATTAGGTGCCATCGGACGCCTGCGATAGCATACTGTCACACACAGACACACACCTCTCACCTATATTGGAACACTCTCTGGAGGGAAACATCACCTATATAGGGAACACTCTCTGAGGGATAGCATCCCTATTATAGGGGAAACACTCTCTTGAGGTCGGCAATCACCTATAATTGGAACACTCTCTGATGTAGGCAATCACCTATCTAGGAACACATCGTCTTAGGTAGCAATCAGCCTATTGATATAAACACCTCTCTGATTGTATACCGTTCACCTATATAGGGAACACCCGTTAGGGAGGCATCACCTATATAGGGAACAACACCTCTTGTGTAGGCATCACCTATATAGGTGTAACACCCTCTAGGGATGCAGTCACACTATCCCTATATAGGGAACCTCTCTGAGGGATCACATCACCTATATATAGGGACACTCTCTGAGGGGGCATCACCTAATATAGGGAACTCTCTGGGGAGGCATCACCTACATATGGAACACTCTTTGAGGGAGAGGGGCCCCCCATCACCTATAAGAGGGAACACTCTCATAGGAGGCATCACCTATATAGGGACACTCTCTGAGGGAGGCATCACCCTATATAGTGAACACTCTGAGGGAGACAAATCACCTATATATTTAACAACTCTCTGATGGATACTCACCTTTATTGAAGCCACACTCTTCTGAGGGAGGCAATCACAGCTATGCACTATACCTAGGGAACACTCTTCTGAGGGAGCATCACCTATACAGTGAACACTCTCTGAGGAGCAATCACACTATCCACCTATAAAGGGAACAACGCTCACTGAGTGTAGGCATCACACCTATATAGGAACACCTCTGAGGGAGACATCACCTATATAGGGAAACACTCTCTTGAGGGAGGCACTCACCTATATCGGGGAACACTCTCTGAGGGCAGGCATCAGCCTATATAGGGAACACTCTCCTGAGGGAGGGCATCACCTATATGGGAACACCCTTCTTGAGTGAGGCATCACACTATCACCCTATAGGGAACACTCTCTGATGGAGGCAATCACCTATATAGGGAACACTCTCTGAGGGAGTCATTCACTATATAGTAACACCTCTGATGTAAGGCAATCACCTATATAGGAACCCGCTCTGGGGAGGCATCACCTTATATAGGAACAAACTCTTTGAGGGAAGCATCACCTATCGAGGGAACACACTCTCATGGAGGGCATCACCTATATAGGGCACACTCTCTAGGGAGGCCAATCACCTATATAGGAACACTCTCTGAGTGAGGCAATCACCTATATTGGTAACACTCTCTGAGGGAGGCTCACCTATATACAGGGGAAACTCTCTGAGTGGAGCATCACTATATAGGGAAACCCTCTCTTAGGTAGGCATCACCTATGTATTAACACTCTCTGAGGGAGGCATCACCTATATAGGGAACACTCTCCTGGGAGATGCCATCACCTATATAGGGAACACTCTCTGAGGGAACGATCACCTATATACAGGACACTCCTGAGGGAGGCACACCTATATAGGGAACACCTCTGAGGGAGGCATCACCTATATAGGGAACACTCTCCGGCGGGAGGCATCCTACCTATCACCTATGATGGGAACCACTCTCTGAGGAGTCTCCATCTCTGCCACCATCAGTTTGAAGACAGTTTTTTTTTTTTTTAGGGCAGTATAACCGTCAACCCCCCATAGAACCTTCTCTCCCTGAGTCAGCGGGCAGGTAGAACCAGGGGCTGGAACAACAAAATAAAGCATCAATAAATAACCACAGAACAACAACAATCACAAACAATACAATAAACCACAAACCCATCGGCTAGAACGTACATACAGCAGTCACCACAGAATCGGCAGCTCCCTCTCAGCTGTATCCATGAATGTACCATAGTATGATAGAGGGGTCTATCCCTCAAGCCTGCTTTAGCACCATGAATTGTACCATAGAGATGGGATAAGGGGGGTATCCGCCCAAAGCCTGCTTTAGCACAATGAATTTACCATAGAGATGGATCGAGGGGTCCTATCGTCCCCAACGCCTTGCTTTAGCACATGAAATGTACCATAGAGATGGGATAGAGGGGGTTATCCGCCCCAAAGCCTGCTTTAGCACCATGAATGTACCATAGAGATGGATAGAGGGTTCTATCGCCTCAATCTGCTTTAGCACAATGATGTACCATCGGAGATAGATAGAGGGGTCGAATCCGGCCCCAAAGCCTGCTTTAGCAACCATGAATGTAACCATAGAGATGGATAGAGGGGGGCTATCACCTCAAAAGCCTGCTTAGCACCATAATGTAAACCATAGATATGGATTGAGGGGGCTATCACCTCCAAGCTGCCTTTAGCACAATGAATGTACCCATAGCGATGGATAGAGGGGTCTATCACCTCAAAGCCCTCTTTAGCGCCCCATGAATGTCCATATAGATGGATAGGGGGTCGATCACCTCAAGCCTGCATTCAGCACCATATTATAGTAGTCAATCAAGTTGACTAATGATCATATCACTGTCTTCTACAAATGGAGTTTCTGATCGATTTAGTAGCATGGCTTTTAATTATATCTCGGCCATCTAGTGAGCCAAAGTAAGTGACTGCACTAAATGCTATTACTACCACCATACATACCAAAACATCGCTGCTACTACTACTACTACTACTACAACTACTACTACTACGACTGCGACTAATACCAATTAACCACTACTAATACCAATAACGACTACCTAACTAAACTACTACTACCACTATTAACTACTACCACTACTAAACAATATATTAAATAATACTAACACTAATAATATTACAACTACGAACAATAAGAACAATAGAAACCATAACAACAAGAATATAATAACCATAATAATAAACATAATAACATTAGCATAATCAACAATAGCATTATGATAATAACAATAATAATAATCATAACAATAATAATACTATAATAACTATATTACTAAACTATAAATAATAACAATTAATCATAACAATATAATACATAATATAACACCAATAATAACATAATTTGTAATAATAACCCAACAATAATAAATAATATTTAAACCAACAATGATAATAACAAACAATAATAAGTACCTTAGGAAGGAGATGAGGAAGCATGGCAGTAGCCGGTGCAAAAGATGGGTCAAGAGAGATCGTCCTCTTCAGATGGAGGTGAGGTGATTCATGATAATGGGTTCCGAGCAGCAGCCGGACATGATGACGTTCCGTACGCCTGCATTCCGTTACACTCCACTCCACTTTCTCCACACAGTCTGACAGGTCCCCACTGTCCATCCATGCCCATGGCTATGTCCACCTGGAGACACACACAGGGTACACACACTGTCCTCCCCCATGGCTATGTCCACCTGGAGACACACACAGGTGTAACACACACTGTCCATCCCCCATGGCTATGTCCACCTGGAGACACACACAGGGTACACACACTGTCCATCCCCCATGGCTATGTCCACCTGGAGACACACACCAGGGTACACACCTGTCCATCCCCCATGGCTATGTCCACCTGGGAGACGACACACAGGGTACACACACTGTCCATCCCCCATGGCTATGTCCACCTGGAGACACACACAGGGGTACACCACTGTTCCATCCCCCATGGCTATGTCCACCTGGAGACACACACAGGGTACACACACTGTCCATCCCCCATGGCTATGTCCCACCTGGAGACACACAAGGGGTAACACACACTGTCCATCCCCCATGTGCTATGTCCACCTGGATACACACACAGGGTACAAACACTGTCCATCCCCCCGATGGGCTATGTCCACCTGAAACACCACAGGGTACACACACTCCGCCATGGCTATTTCCACACTGTAGCTAATGTCTGTTCAAATCAAATCAAATCATATTTAGCAGATGTTATTGGTGGGTGTAGCGAAATGCTTTGTGTTCTCTAGCCTCCACAGTGCAGTAGTATATACAATACACAACAATACACACAAATCTAAAAGTAGAAAGAAGGGAATTAAGAAATATATAAATATTAGGACGAGCAATGTCGGAGTGGTATTGACTAAAATACAGTAGATATTATATATAATACAGTATATACATATGAGATGAGTAAAGCAGTATGTAAACATTATTAAAGTGACTAGTGTTCCATTATTAAAGTGGCCAGTGATTCCATGTCTATGTACATAGGGCAGCAGCCTCTAAGGTGCAGGGTTGAGTAACCGGGTGGTAGCCGGCTAGTGATGGCTATTTAACAGTCTGATGGCCTTGAGATAGAAACTGTTTTTCAGTCTCTCGGTCCCAGTTTTGATGCACCTGTACTGACCCCGCCTTCTGGATGATAGCGGGGTGAACAGGCAGTGGCTCAGGTGGTTGATGTCCTTGATGATCTTTTTGGCCTTCCTGTGACATTGGGTGCTGTAGGTGTCCTGGAGGGCGGGTAGTTCGCCCCCGGTGATGCGTTGGGCAGCCCGCACCACCCTCTGGAGAGCCCTGCGGTTGCAGGCGGTGCAGTTGCCGTACCAGGCAGTGATACAGCCCAACAGCATGCTCTCAATTGTGCATCTGTAAAAGTTTGTGAGGGTCTTAAGGGCCAAGCCAAATTTCTTCAGTCTCCAGAGGTTGAAGAGGCTCTGTTGCACCTTCTTCACCACACTGTCTGTGTGGATGGAACATTTCAGATTGTCAGTGATGTGTACGCTGAGGAACTTGAAGCTTTCCACCTTCTCCACTGCGGTCCCGTCGATGTGGATAGGGGCGTGCTCCCTCTGCTGTTTCCTGAAGTCCACGATCAGCTCCTTCATTTTGTTGACGTTGAAGGAGAGGTTATTTTCCTGGCACCACTCCGCCAGGGCCCTCACCTCCTCCCTGTAGGCTGTCTCATCATTGTTGGTAATCAGGACTACTATTGTTGTGTCGTCTGAAAACTTGATGATTGAGTTGGAGGCGTGCTTGGCCACACAGTCATGGGTGAACAGGGAGTACAGGAGGGGGCTGAGCACGCACCCTTGTGGGGCCCCAGTGTTGAGGATCAGCGAAGTGGAGATGTTGTTTCCTACCTTCACCACCTGGGGGCGGCCCGCCAGGAAGTCCAGGACACAGTTGCACAGGGCGGGGTTAAGACCCAGGGCCTCGAGCTTAATGATGAGCATGGAGGGTACTATGGTGTTGAAGGCCAAGCTGTAGTCAATGAACAGCATTCTTACATAGGTATTCCTCTTGTCCAGATGGGATAGGGCAGTGTGCAGTGCGATGGCGATTGCATCGTCTGTGGATCTATTGGGGCGGTAAGCAAATTGAAGTGGGTCTATGGTGTCGGGTAAGGTGGAGGTGATATGATCCTTAACTAGCCTCTCAAAGCACTTCATGATAACAGAAGTGAGTGCTACGGGGCGATAGTCATTTAATTCAGCTACCTTTGCTTTCTTGGGTACAGGAACAATGGTGGACATCTTGAAGCAAGTGGGGACAGCAGACTGGGAAAGGGAGAGATTGAATATGTCCGTAAACACACCAGCCAGCTGGTCTGCACATGCTCCGAGGATGCGGCTAGGGATGCCGTCTGGGCTGGCAGCCTTGCGAGGGTTAACACGCTTAAATGTCTTACTCACGTCGGCCACGGAGAAGGAGAGCCCACAGTCCTTGTTAGTGGGACGCGTCGGTGGCACTGTGTTATCCTCAAAGTGGGTGAAGAAGGTGTTTAGCTTGTCTGGAAGCAAGACGTCGGTGTCCGCGAAATGGCTGGTTTTCCCTGCTAAAGTCTGTTCCAGTGTTGCTAAAGTCTGCTCCAGTGTTGCTAAAGTCTGTTCCAGCATTGCTAAAGTCTGCTCCAGTGTTGCTAAAGTCTGTTCCAGCATTGCTAAAGTCTGCTCCAGTGTTGCTAAAGTCTGTTCCAGCATTGCTAAAGTCTGCTCCAGTGTTGCTAAAGTCTGTTCCAGCAATGCTAAAGTCTGTTCCAGTGTTGCTAAAGTCTGTTCCAGTGTTGCTAAAGTCTGTTCCAGTGTTGCTAAAGTCTTTTCCAGTGTTGCTAAAGTCTGTTCCAGTGCTGCTAAAGTCTGTTCCAGTGTTGCTAATTTCTGTTCCAGTGTTGCTAATTTCTGTTCCAGCTGCAATCTTTCCGTTTTTAAGAAACTTAGCAACATGTGTGTATTATACCATACATGTATACCTATATATATATACACACACACATATATACATACATATATATATATACAGTGCCCTCCACAATTATTGGCACCCCTGTTTAAGATGTGGTCGAGGACTTCCAAAAATTCTCCTTTTTTTTTTAAACAACATAGAACCCAAATGCAAAAAAAGAGAAAAATCCAACCTTTTATTTAAGTACATTACTTTGGTGTAAAAAAAAAAAATCACACATTTAGGAAAAAAAAACTTGAAATCATGTGTCCCACAATTATTGGCACCCCTGATGTTAATACTTTGTACAACCCCCTTTTGCCAACAAGACAGCACTTAATCTCCTCCTATAACATTTCACAAGATTGGAGAACACAGAGAGAGGGATCTTTGACCATTCTTCTTTGCACAATCTTTCTAGATCATCCAGTGTCCTGGGTCCTGTCTTATGCACTCTCCTCTTTAGCTCGCCCCACAGGTTTTCGATTGGGTTGAGGTCTGGGGACTGAGATGGCCATGGGAGGACCTTGAGTTTGTGACTGCTGAACCATTTTTGTATAGATTTTGCCACATGTTTTGGATCATTATCCTGCTGAAAGACCCAATGACGACCCATCTTCAGCTTTCTGGCAGAGGCCATCAGGTTTTTATTTAAAATGTCCTGGTAGTTCAAAGCGTTCATAATGCCATGCACCCTAACAAGGTTCCCAGGGCCTTTGGAAGAGAAACAGGCCCACAGCATCACAGATCCTCCACCACACTTCACGGTGGGCATGAGGTGCTTTTCGGCATACTCATCTTTTGTTTTACGCCAGACCCACTTAGTGTTTGTTGCCAAAAAGCTCAATCTTAGTCTCATCTGACCAAAGCACACGATCCCAGTTGAAGTCCCAGTGCCGCTTAGCAAACTCCAGACGTTTACGTTTGTGAGTGTTAGTGAGAAAAGGCTTTTTCCTTGCATGCCTCCCAAACAGCTTGTTGGCATGTAGAGAGCGTCTGATGGTTGTTTTGGAGACTTTGTGACCCCAAGATGCCACTCTTTGATGCAATTCTGTGACAGTGAGCTTAGGACTTTTTTTTACTTCTCTTACCATCCTCCTCACTGTGCGTTGTGGCAAGATAAACTTGGGACCTCTTCCAGCCTTGTTTGTCACTGTTCCAGTTGTTTTAAACTTCTTAATGATTCCTCTGACTGTAGATACGGGCAAGTTAAGGCGAGTGGCTATTTTCTTGTAGCCATTGCCTGACTTATGAAGGTCGACACAAATCTGCCTTACTTGAATGGTGTGTTCTCTTGTCTTTGCCATGTTGACAAATGGGTTAGAGAATTAGGGCCTCTGTGTCACGTCATATTTATACCCCAGGGAAACAGGAAGTCATGAATTACTAATTAAAAGTTCCTAGATACCCTGACCAACTTTAGCAACTACAGAAAAATATATTTTTAAAAAAATCAATTAAAATTTTCAGCGGAATTGTTAGGGGTGCCAATAATTGTGGGACACATGATTTCAAGTTTTTATTTTTCTAAAAGTGTGATTTTTTTTTTACCACCAAAGTAATGTACTTAAATAAAAGGTTGGATTTTTCTCTTTTTTTGCATTTGGGTTCTATGTTGTTTAAAAAAAAAAGGAGAATTTTTGGAAGTCCTCAACCACATCTTAAACAGGGGTGCCAATAATAGTGGAGGGCACTGTATATACAGTGGGGAGAACAAGTATTTGATACACTGCCGATTTTGCAGGTTTTCCTACTTACAAAGCATGTAGAGGTCTGTAAATCCAGAAAATCACATTGTATGATTTTTAAGTAATTAATTTGCATTACATAAGTATTTGATACATCAGAAAAGCAGAACTTAATATTTGGTACAGAAACCTTTGTTTGCAATTACAGAGATCATACGTTTCCTGTAGGTCTTGACCAGGTTTGCACACACTGCAGCAGGGATTTTGGCCCACTCCTCCATACAGACCTTCTCCAGATCCTTCAGGTTTCGGGGCTGTCGCTGGGCAATACGGACTTTCAGCTCCCTCCAAAGATTTTATATTGGGTTCAGATCTGGAGACTGGCTAGGCCACTCCAGGACCTAGAGATGCTTCTTACGGAGCCACTCCTTAGTTGCCCTGGCTGTGTGTTTCGGGATCGTTGTCATGCTGGAAGACCCACCGTCATCTTGAACTTCTTCCATTTTCTAATAATTGCGCCAACAGTTGTTGCCTTCTCACCAAGCTGTTTGCCTATTGTCCTGTAGCCCAACCCAGCCTTGTGCAGGTCTACAATTTTATCCCTGATGTCCTTACACAGCTCTCTGGTCTTGGCCATTGTGGAGAGGTTGGAATCTGTTTGATTGAGTGTGTGGACAGGTGTCTTTTATACAGGTAATGAGTTCAAACAGGTGCAGTTAATACAGGTAATGAGTGGAGAACAGGAGGGCTTCTTAAAGAAAAACGAACAGGTCTGTGAGAGCCGGAATTCTTACTGGTTGGTAGGTGATCAAATACTTATGTCATGCAATGAATTGCAAATTAATTACTTAAAAATCATACAATGTGATTTTCTGGATGTTTGTTTTAGATTCCGTCTCTCACAGTTGAAGTGTACCTATGATAAAAATTACAGACCTCTACATGCTTTGTAAGTAGGAAAACCTGCAAAATAGGCAGTGTATCAAATACCTGTTCTCCCCACTGTACATATATATACACATACATACATACATACATATATACATATATATACACATACACACACTACCGGTCAAAACTTTTAGAACACCTACTCATTCAAAGGTTTTTCCTTTATTTTTTACTATTTTCTACATTGTAGAATAATAGTGAAGACATCAAAACTATGAAATAACACATATGGAATCATGTAGTAACCAAAAGTGTTAAACAAATCAAAATATATATTTTATATTTAAGATTCTTCAAATAGCCACCCTTTGCCTTGATGACAGCTTTGCACACTCTTGGCATTCTCTCAACAAGCTTCATGAGGTAGTCACCTGGAATGCATTTCAATTAACAGGTATGCCTTGTTAAAAGTTAATTTGTGGAATTTCTTTCCTTCTTAATGCGTTTGAGCCAATCAGTTGTGTTGTGACAAGGTAGGGGGGATATACAGAAGATAGCCCTATTTGGTAAAAGACCAAGTCCATATTATGGCAAGAACAGCTCAAATAAGCAAAGAGAAATGACAGTCCATCATTACTTTAAGACATGAAGGTCAGTCAATACAGAACATTTCAAGAATGTTTCTTCAAGTGCAGTCGCAAAAACCATCAAGCCCTATGATGAAACGCTCTCATGAGGACCGCCACAGGAATGGAAGACCCAGAGTTACCTCTGCTGCAGAGGATACTTTCATTAGAGTTACCAGCCTCAGAAATTGCAGCCCAAATAAATGCTTCACAGAGTTCAAGTAACAGACACATCTCAACATCAACTGTTCAGAGGAGACTGTGTGAATCAGGCCTTCATGGTCGAATTGCTGCAAAGAAACCACTACTAAAGGACACCAATAAGAAGAAGAGACTTGCTTGGGCCAAGAAACACGAGCAATGGACATTAGACCGGTGGATATGTGTCCTTTGGTCTGGAGTCTAAATTGGTGATTTTCGGTTCCAACCGCCGTGTCTTTGTGAGACGCGGTGTGGGTGAACGGATGATCTCCGCATGTGTAGTTCCCACCGTAAAGCATGGAGGAGGAGGTGTTATGGTGTGGGGGTGCTTTGCTGGTGACACTGTCTGTGATTTATTTAGAATTCAAGGCACACTTAACCAGCATGGCTACCACAGCATTCTGCAGCGATACGCCATCCCATCTGGTTTGGGCTTAGTGGGACTATCATTTGTTTTTCAACAGGACAATGACCCAACACACCTCCAGGCTGTGTAAGGGCTATTTGACCACGAAGGAGAGTGATGGAGTGCTGCATCAGATGACCTGGCCTCCACAATCCCCCGACCTCAACCCAATTGAGATGGTTTGGGATGAGTCGGACCGCAGAGTGAAGGAAAAGCAGCCAACAAGTGCTCAGCATATGTGGGAACTCCTTCAACAAAGTTGGAAAAGCATTCCAGGTAAAGCTGGTTGAGAGAATGCCAAGAGTGTGCAAAGCTGTCATCAAGGCAAAGGGTGGCTATTTGAAGAATCTTAAATATAAAATATATTTTGATTTGTTTAACACTTTTTTTGGTTACTACATGATTCCATATGTGTTATTTCATAGTTTTGATGTCTTCACTATTATTCTACAATGTAAAAAAATAGTAAAAAATAAAGAAAAACCCTTGAATGAGTAGGTGTTCTAAAACCTTTGACAGGTAGTGTGTATATATATATTTATAGTGCGTATATGCATGTGTAAATGTCTCTTTATGTGTGTGTGTGTGTGTGTGTGTGTGTGTGTGTGTGTGTGTGCGTGTGTGTGTGTGTGTGTGTGTGTATACCTCTGTGCGTACCTGGTTGCCGTTGTATGTCCATGACCCAAAGGTGAGGTTACACCACTGCCAGTCGAAGGGAAAGTAAGAGACGTCCACAACACAGGAGCTCTTAGTGATGGCAGGCATGTCCCAGGTTATCTCTCCATTATAACGTAACACCACGTTGGTCTCCGCTGGACCAGATGCCTCCTCATCAGCCCTACACACAGAGACACACAGAGACACACACAGAGACACAGAGAGACATGCACAGAGACACAGAGAGACACACACAGAGACACAGAGAGACACGCACAGAGACACAGAGAGACACACACAGAGACACGCAGAGACACGCACAGAGACACAGAGAGACACACACGAGACACAGAGAGACACACACAGAGATACGCAGAGACACGCACAGAGACACAGAGAGACACGCACAGAGACACAGAGACATATAGAGACACACACGGAGACACAGAGAGACACAAAGAGACACAGAGACACGCACAGAGACACAGAGAGACACACACAGAGACACAGAGAGACACACACAGAGACACAGAGAGACACACACAGAGACACAGAGAGACACACACACAGAGACACGCACAGAGACACAGAGAGACACACACAGAGACACACAGAGACACGCACAGAGACACAGAGACAAAGAAACAGAGAGACATGCACAGAGACACACGCACACACATACACACACCCAGTATAAATACACACACACACACGGAGACACATAGAGAGGTACATAGAGAGGTACATAGAGACACATAGAGAGACATAGAGAGACATAGAGAGACATAGAGACACATAGAGAGACATAGAGAGACATAGAGAGACATAGAGAGACATAGAGAGGTACAGTACCAGTCAAAAGTTTGGACACACCTACTCATTCAAGGATATTTCTTTATTTTTAAAGACATCAAAACTATGAAATATAACAGTGTTAAACAATATAAAAGTGTTAAACAATATATTTTATATTTGAGATTCTTCCAATAGACACCCTTTGCCTTGATGACAGCTTTGAGAGAGAGAGAGCGAGAGCGAGAGCGAGAGAGACAGAGAGAGAGAGAGAGGGAGAGAGAGAGAGACAGAGACAGAGAGAGAGAGACAGAGAGAGAGAGAGACAGAGAGAGAGAGAGACAGCCAGAGCGAGAGAGAGAGAGACAGAGAGAGAGGATAGAGAGAGAGAACGAGAGAAGAGAGAGACAGAGACAGAGAGAGAGCATAGAGAGAGAGAGACCAGAGAGAGAGAGAGACCAACAGAGCGAGAGAGAGAGAACAGAGAGAGAGAGAGAGAGAGAGAGACAGAGAGAGAGAGAGACAGAGACAGAGAGAGAGACAGAGAGAGAGAGAGACAGAGAGACAGAGAGACAGACAGAGCGAGAGAGAGAGAGACAGGAGAGAGACAGAGAGACAGAGACAGAGACAGAGAGAGAGACAGAAGACAGAGATAGAGACAGAGAGAGAGAGAGAGACAGATAGAGTGAGAGACAAGAGAGAGAAGAGAGATAGAGAGATAGAGACAGAGATAGAGAGACAAGGAAGAGACATAGAGAGAGAAGAGAGACAATAGAGAGAAGACAGAATATAGAAAGAGACATACTATGATAGACGAAAGAGAGAGACAGAGATGAGAGAGACGACAGATCGAGAGAGATAGACAGAGACAGAAGAGAACAATATAGACAGAGACAGAGAGAGAGACAGATAGAAGAGACAGAGACAGGACAGAGCGAGAGAGAGAGAGACGCAGAGGAGAGCGGGACAGAGAGAAGAGACCGAGAGACAGAGAGAGAAGAGAGAGAGAGAGACAGAACGACTTGTTATAAAGCACTATGTCAGGTCTCCAGACCAGGTTACTGGGGATTCGGATAACCTCCAGACCATCATATTCCTCTTTATCCCACTTCAGGTACGCATCAAACCACGTCTGACGGATCCACAAGTAGGTAGTCAACACCTGGTTCCTCTCATCCTACACACACACACACACACACACACACACACACCACACACACACGTAAGATAAGGACAGGTGAAACTTGTCATCCTGGTTATATAACTAACAATGTTATATCTATATTACAATCCACTGCTGCCACTTGCTGCTCTCTAGAGACGTTAAAAAGACACTGCACCAGGAACAGGGTTGGAGAACCCTGCAGTACACCAGGAACAGGGTTGGAGAACCCTGCAGTACACCAGGAACAGGGTTGGAGAACCTTGCAGTACACCAGGAACAGGGTTGGAGAACCTTGCAGTACACCAGGAACAGGGTTGGAGAACCTTGCAGTACAACAGGAACAGGGTTGGAGAGCCCTGCAGTACAACGGGAATAGGGTTGGAGAACCTTGCAGTACACCAGGAACAGGGTTGGAGAACCCTGCAGTACACCAGGAACAGGGTTGGAGAACCTTGCAGTACACCAGGAACAGGGTTGGAGAACCCTGCAGTACACCAGGAACAGGGTTGGAGAACCTTGCAGTACACCAGGAACAGGGTTGTAGAGCCCTGCAGTACACCAGGATCAGGGTTGGAGAACCTTGCAGTACACCAGGAACAGGGTTGGAGAACCTTGCAGTACACCAGGAACAGGGTTGGAGAACCTTGCAGTACACCAGGAACAGGGTTGGAGAACATTGCAGTACACCAGGAACAGGGTTGGAGAAACCCTGCAGTACACCAGGAACAGGGTTGGAGAACCTTGCAGTACACCAGGAACAGGGTTGGAGAACCCTGCAGTACACCAGGAACAGGGTTGGAGAACCTTGCAGTACACCAGGAACAGGGTTGGAGAACCCTGCAGTAAACACACAACAGGCTGGTGGTTTTCTACTCTAGTGAGTCCTCACCATGTCTTTGATCTGAGACAGGGTGATCTGTAGTGAGTCCTCACCATGTCTTTGATCTGAGACAGGGTGATCTGTAGTGAGTCCTCACCATGTCTTTGATCTGAGACAGGGTGATCTGTAGTGAGTCCTCACCATGTCTTTGATCTGAGACAGGGTGATCTGTAGTGAGTCCTCACCATGTCTTTGATCTGAGACAGGTGATCTTGTAGTGAGTCCTCCCTGATCTGAGACAGGGTGATCTGTAGTGAGTCCTCACCATGTCTTTGATCTGAGACAGGGTGATCTGTAGTGAGTCCTCACCATGTCTTTGATCTGAGACAGGGTGATCTGTAGTGAGTCCTCACCATGTCTTTGATCTGAGACAGGGTGATCTGTAGTGAGTCCTCACCATGTCTTTGATCTGAGACAGGGTGATCTGTAGTGAGTCCTCACCATGTCTTTGATCTGAGACAGGGTGATCTGTAGTGAGTCCTCACCATGTCTTTGATCTGAGACAGGGTGATCTGTAGTGAGTCCTCACCATGTCTTTGATCTGAGACAGGGTGATCTGTAGTGAGTCCTCACCATGTCTTTGATCTGAGACAGGGTGATCTGTAGTGAGTCCTCACCATGTCTTTGATCTGAGACAGGGTGATCTGTAGTGAGTCCTCACCATGTCTTTGATCTGAGACAGGGTGATCTGTAGTGAGTCCTCACCATGTCTTTGATCTGAGACAGGGTGATCTGTAGTGAGTCCTCACCATGTCTTTGATCGGAGACAGGGTGATCTGTAGTGAGTCCTCACCATGTCTTTGATCTGAGACAGGGTGATCTGTAGTGAGTCCTCACCATGTCTTTGATCTGAGACAGGGTGATCTGTAGTGAGTCCTCACCATGTCTTTGATCTGAGACAGGGTGATCTGTATTGAGTCCTCACCATGTCTTTGATCTGAGACAGGGTGATCTGGTAGTGAGTCCTCACCATGTCTTTGATCTGAGACAGGGTGATCTGTAGTGAGTCCTCACCATGTCTTTGATCTGAGACAGGGTGATCTGTAGTGTGACGTTCAGGGTCTTGTCTGTGTCCTCTACTGGTCTCAGAGCACTAGAGTAACTCTCCATCAGGTCATTAAGCAGCTTCTGGGCATAACGACCCTGGGCACTGGTACACACTGGAGGGGAGGAGGGGGGGGGGGGGGGGGGGGGGGGGGGGGGGAGGGGGGACGGGGGGCAGAGGGAGAGGAGGGGGGGGCGGGGCAGGGAGGGGGGGGGAGAGGGGAGGGACAGAGGAGAGAGGGAGAGGGGAGAGGGGGGGGGGGGGAGAGGGAGAGGAGGGGGGGGGGGGAAAGGGGAGGGGGAGAGGGGGAGAGGGAGAGGGGAGTAGGCGAGAGGGATGGGGAGGGGGACGAGGGGGGGAGGGGAGGGGGGAGAGGGGGGGGGGGGGGGGGGGGGGGGAGGAGAGGGAGGGGGGGAGAGGGGATGGGGGAGGGGGGGAGAGAGGGGATGGGGGGGAGAGGGAGAAGAGGGGGGAGAATTATTGATCCATAATACTAATTAACAACATGATAGAGGTCCTCTCACCATTGATCCATAATACTAATTAACAACATGATAGAGGTCCTCTCACCATTGATCCATAATCCTAATTAACAACATGATAGAGGTCCTCTCACCATTGATCCATAATACTAATTAACAACATGATAGAGGTCCTCTCACCATTGATCCATAATCCTAATTAACAACATGATAGAGATCCTCTCACCATTGATCTATAATCCTAATTAACAACATGATAGAGATCCTCTCACCATTGATCCATAATCCTAATTAACAACATGATATAGGTCCTCTCACCATTGATCCATAATCCTAATTAACAACATGATAGAGATCCTCTCACCATTGATCCATAATCCTAATTAACAACATGACAGAGGTCCTCTCACCATTGATCCAGCAGCAGGCCCATGCCAGTAGAGCCACCGTCTTCATGTTGCCCTGCTGCCTCCAACCAACAGATCAATTATTCAACTAACAAATAACAGAGACAGCCTCGTTAGAATCCTCTTCCACTGAGTCCCATTGCGATCCACAGCCCAACCACAGACTGCACAGAACACTCTGCACAGAACACTCTAGATAGAACACTAGATAGAACACTCTAGATAGAACAATCTAGAACTTAGATATTGCGTTCTAGAGTCTTGACGCTCCGCTGGTCGTTATTTTTGTGTTCCATTGTGTCACTGTCCCCCATATGTGAGCTCTGGAACAGGACCCGGGGATATCTCTCACACACACACACACACACACACACACACACACACACACACACACACACACACACACACACACACACACACACACACACACACACACACACACGAGCTGGGGATATCAGGTAGCACAAGGATACAGGGTGAAACCAGATACATGAAGACCTATCTACCCATACACACATATCTGCCCATACACACACCCCAAGAAACACACACACTAAGACACACACACACACACCCCAAGACACACACACACACACCCCAAGACACACACACACACACACACACACCCCAAGACACACACACACCCCAAGACACACACACACACACACACCCCAAGACACACACACACCCCAAGACAGACACACACACCCCAAGACACACACACACCCCAAGACACACACACACCCCAAGACACACACACACACCCCAAGACACACACACACACCCCAAGACACACACACACACACACACACACACACACACACACACCCCAAGACACACACACACACCCCAAGACACACACACACACTCCGCCTTCCTGTGTTACCCACACACCCTGAGACAGCTGTCAATCAGTCAGAGAACAACCCTTAGGTCACACAGGACAACACAGGTGTCAAAGAGCACAACATTCAGTCAGAGAACAACCCTTAGGTCACACAGGACAACACAGGTGTCAAAGAGCACAACATTCAGTCAGAGAACAACCCTTAGGTCACACAGGACAACACAGGTGTCAAAGAGCACAACATTCAGTCAGAGAACAACCCTTAGGTCACACAGGACAACACAGGTGTCAAAGAGCACAACATTCAGTCAGAGATCAACCCTTAGGTCACACAGGACAACACAGGTGTCAAAGAGCACAACATTCAGTCAGAGAACAACCCTTAGGTCACACAGGACAACACAGGTGTCAAAGAGCACAACATTCAGTGCATTCGGAAAGTATTCAGACCCCTTGACTTTTCCCACATTTTGTTACGTTACAGCCTTATTCTAAAATGGTTAAATAAATAAAAAATCCACAGCAATCTACACACAATACCCCATAATGACAAAGCGAAAACCGGTTTTTCGAAATCTTTATACATTTATAAAAAATAATAATCAAAATACCTTATTTACATAAGTATTCAGACCCTTTCCTATTAGACTCAAAATTGAGCTCAGGTGCATCCTGTTTCCATTGATCATCCTTGAGATGTTTCTACAACTTGATTGGAGTCCACCTGTGGTAAATTCAATTGATTGGACATGATTTGGAAAGGCACACACCTGTCTATATAAGGTCCCACAGTTGACAGTGCATGTCAGAGCAAAAACCAAGCCATGAGGTCGAAGGAATTGTCCGTAGAGCTCCGAGACAGGATTGTGTCGAGGCACAGATCTGGGGAAGGGTATCAAAACATTTCTGCAGCATTGAAGGTCCCCAAGAACACAGTGGTCTCTTCTCATTCTTAAATGGAAGAAGTTTGGAACCACCAAGACTTTTCCTAGAGCTGGCCGCCTGGCCAAACTGAGCAATCGGGGGAGAAGGGCCTTGGTCAGGGAGTTGACCAAGAACCCAATGGTCACTCTGACAGAGCTCTAGAGTTCCTCTGTGGAGATGGAAGAACCTTCCAGAAGGACAACCATCTCTGCAGCACTCCACCAATCAGGCCTTTATGGTAGAGTGGCCAGACGGAAGCCACTCCTCAGTAAAAGGCACATGACAGCCTGCTTGGAGTTTGCCAAAAGGCACCTAAAGGACTCTCAGACCATGAGAAACAAGACTCTCTGGTCTGATGAAACCAAGATTGAACACTTTGGCCTGAATGCCAAGCGTCACGTCTGGAGGAAACCTGGCACCATCCCTACGGTGAAGCATGGTGGTGGCAGCATCATGCTGTGGGGATGTTTTTCAGCGGCAGGGACTGGGAGACTAGTCAGGATCGAGGCAAAGATGAGCAGCGCGAAGTCCAGAGAGATCCTTGATGAAAACCTGCTCCAGAGCTCTCAGGACCTCTAAATGGTGCGAAGGTTCACCTTCCAACAGGACAACGACCCTAAGCACACAGCCAAGACAAAGCAGGAGTGGCTTCGGGACAAATCTCTGAATGTCCTTGAGTTGCCCAGCCAGAGCCCGGACTTAAACCCGATCGAACATCTCTGGAGAGACCTGAAAATAGCTGTCCAGCAACGCTCCCTATCCAACCTGACAGAGCTTGAGAGGATCTGCAGAGAAGAATGGGAGAAACTCCCCACATTCAGGTGTGCCAAGCTTGTAGCGTCATACCCAAGAAGACTTGATGCTGTAATCGCTGCCAAAGGTCTTCAACAAAGTACTGAGTAAAGCGTCTGAATACTTACATAAATGTGATATTTCAGTTTATTTGTATTTATAAATTAGCAAAAATGTCTAAAAACGTTATGGTGTATTGTGTGTAGATTGATGAGGGAAAAAAACAATTTAATCAATTTTAGAATAAGGCTGAAACATAACAAAAAGTGGAAAAACTCAAAGGGTCTGAACACTTTCAGAGCCATATCCCTGTAATGCTTAGAGAAGATCTTATGTCAAGTGTTATTGAAGTGGTGTGGTTGCAGGTTCACTTGGCACATCTAAAGCCTTTTCTTTTGGGGTGTTGCTATAGGCCACCAAGTGCTAACAGTCAGTATCTAAATAATATGTGTAAAATGCTTGATAGTGTATGTCATGTAAACAGAGAGGTTTACTTTTTTGGGGACCTGAATATTTACTAGTTTTCATCAAGCTGTCAGCTCAAGAGGAAGCTTCTCACTGTAACCAGTGCCTGTAATCTGGTTCAGGTTTTTAATCAACCTACCAGGGTGTTTACAAACACTACAGGAACAAGATCATCCACATGTATCGATCACATTTTTACTAATACTGTAGAACTTTGTTCTGAAGCTGTATCCGTACCCATTGGATGCAGTGATCACAATATAGTGGCCATATCCAGGAAAGCCAAAGTTCCAAAAGCTGGGCCTAAAATAGTGTATAAGAGATCATACAAAAGATTTTGCTGTGACTCTTATGTGGATGATGTTAAAAATATTTGTTAGTCTGATGTGATTAATAAGGAGCATCCAGACGCTGCACTTGATGAATTTATGAAATTGCTTCTTCCAATTATTGATAAACATGAACCTGTTAAGAAACTGACTGTTAGAACTGTTAAGGCTCCATGGATTGATGAGGAACTGAAAAACTGTCTGGTTGAAAGAGACGGGGCAAAAGGAGTGGCTAATAACTCTGGCTGCAAATTGAGAAATTATGTGACTAAACTCAACAAAAAGAAGAAGAAACTGTATTATGAAGCCAAGATCAATGATATAAAGAATGATGGAAAAAAAAATAATTATGGGCAGAAAGACTAATTCAACTCCATCTTTCATCTAATCAGATGGCTTATTCATCACAAAACCATTTGATGTTGCCAATTATTTTAATGATTGCTTCATTGGCAAAGTGGGAAAACTTAGGCAGGAAATGCCAACAACGAACAGTGAGCCATCGTATTCATGCATAAAAACTATTAATGAACGAAAAGCATTGTAAGTTCGAATTTTGTAAAGTTAGTGTGGGAGAGGTGGAAAATGTATTATCGATCAATAATGACAAACCTCCTGGCATTGACAACTTAGATGGAAAGCTACTGAGGATGGTAGCTGACTCTATAGCCACTCCTATCTGTCATATCTTTAATCTGAGCCTAGAGGAAAGTCTTTGTCCTCAGGCCTGGAGGGAAGCCAAAGTCATTCCACTACCCAAGAGTGGTAAAGCGGCCTTTACTGGTTCTAACAGCAGACCTATCAGCTTGCTGCCAGCTCTTAGCAAACTGTTGGAAAAAATTGTGTTTGACCAAATACAATGCTACTTCTCTGTAAACAAATTAACAACAGACTTTCACCATGCTTATAGAGAAGGGCACTCAACATGTACTGCACTGACACAAATGACTGACGACTGGTTGAAAGAAATTGATAATAAGAAGATTGTGGAAACTGTACTGTTAGATTTCAGTGCAGCCTTTGATATTACTGACCATAACCTGTTGTTGAGAAAACGTATGTGTTATGGCTTTTCAACCTCTGCCATATCGTGGATTCAGAGCTATTTATCTAATTGAACTGAGGGTTTTCTTTAATGGTCTAATGTCAAACATGTAAGGTGTAGTGTACCGCAGGGCAGCTCTCTAGGCCCTCTACTATTTTCTGTTTTTACCAATGACCTGCCACTGGCATTAAACAAAGCATGTGTGTCCATGTGTGCTGATGATTCAACCATATACGTATCAGCATTTAAACAAATAAAGCAACACCTCACGGCACAACGCCTCTCCCCCATGTGACCTTGTTGTTGTGTGTATGTACTGACATGTATGTGGAACTGATAGATGCACACACACTCTACATGTACATGTTTTTAAATGTATGTCAATTGTAAAGTATTTTGTCTGTAATGTATTTCTCATTATGTGTTGGACCACAGTAAGACTAGCTGTCTCCATTGGCGTCGGCTAATGGGGCTCCCAATAAATCAAATAAAAAAAGTCCTGGAGCCTGTTCTGCCATGATAGCAGTTACAGAGCACAATGATAAGAGACCTGTCATCCATTTACATGTATTATTATTACTGGCCCCCCCGTGGGAATCGAACCCACAACCCTGGCATTACAAACGCCATGCTCTACCAACTGAGCT